ATTCATTTTCAGTTATTTACTTGACTAGTCTCAAGTCTTTCAAGTTTTGATCTTTAAATAACTCTAGAGCTTCACTTTCAGAAGCAGAAGATGCATAAGGGCTCTTACAGGTTCACTAAAACAAAGGAAAAAGCCTCAGAGAAACTACGAACTCTGTTCTCTGTGTCTTTCCCGCAGCTCTTTAATTTGTAAGTTTAAAGAAGTCTTTAAACATCTTTGCTCTGTGATAAAAGGGAGGTTTTTTTGTCTATGTAAAGATGCCAGAATTAAGATTTCCCCCTGCAGAAGACAACAACTCTCCTTTCTAGCGGCGCGCTTTCCAGGGGGTCGTTAACAGGAAACCTTGGAAAGGCTAATGCCACCAGCTTATTTACATTGCCTTTGACTCAGGTATGGGGAGATAAAGCAGCAGTGTAATTTACAATGATAAACACTATGGTGCGTAGCATTTGAAAGCAAATGCCACTGAGATTCAGACTGGGATGATTACAGGCTTTTGAAATATATTTATGGCTATAGTTGATGCAGAAAGATGCAACAGCTTGTATTTTAAAATGAAAAAAAAAAAATTAGAAACTTACTCACCAACTGCAGTGTAGGAAGCAATTTGCTTCCTAGAATTGAGATTTTAGGATGAAAGCTGATACGGCTATTGTGATATTTTCCAATAGCAACCATATGGACAACACAATAAACTGGTTTTAGAAATAGATGTTCTGTGTTGTTTTTCCTCTTGGTACCATGCAAGTTTTACATCTATTCGTAAAGACCATCAGAAAGAGAGACAATTAAAGCATTGATTTTTCACATAAGGGAAAAATACGAGGTGAGTGTTGGCATTTTGTCAGAGCTTTAGTTGCAGATTTGTAAGTTCGGTTTAAGTTTTTACCCCAGTCTCTTAAGAGTACACCAATCTTGTTTCTCAGTTTATGCATGTGTACGCACACCCTTATGCCTTATTTTAATCAACTGGATGATCTAGTTGAAGATGACCCTGCTCATTACATCTAGTCCAAATCCATCATCATTTAGACTAGATGACCTTAAAACGTCCTTTCCAACCCCAAGATTCTATGATTCTATGATCGTTTCAACCCAGGTCTGTCTGAAAGGTAAAAACCCACAGATTTTATAAGATTGAGATGGAAGAAAAAAATTCCATCAGCGTCTAGACAAGAAGCTGCACCTTGAGCTCACACACTGGAAATGAAAATCGACACATAACAGCTGTAAAAAGTAACTGTTCACAGGAAAACTAGCGAAAACTCACAATCTGGAAAGAGGCCAAACCTGTGGGAAACAAGGCCTCATCTGTATTGGTCGTTAGAGCAACTTTTAATTAAGCGTACGCTATTATTTAGTAGTAAGGTACATGAGCGCATGTGTCAATCAGCCCATGGTACTTCAAGAAAGTAGCACCTGAGGGCTGCAGAGGTACCAAGCAGCTCACCTGTCAGAACCTGCACAGACCCAGTTCTGCACATTTTTGATGCAAAGGTTGGTTAAAAAACCTGGACAGTAAAGTGTAAATAGCACTATGGAGAGCCTCAGTTTAGAGGGGATGCTGCATCAGCTTGGCATCCTGCTAGAGCAGAGAGGTTTAAAATAAACACACTGCCCTTGTCCAAAGTGGCAACAGAAATGAAGACAGAAACTCAGAAATATGTAATACCACTGGAGTCCGAAATTCATGCGGAGGATTAGGCTGCTGTAGGCAGGTGCATTTTGATCTGTACCATTTGCCTCCGGGCTGTCAACACTGGAAGAGCGATACCCTCGGACTGGTGGGAAAGAGCAAAGCTGGGACCATCATGATTCCAGACAGCCAGTTTTTACCTCTGACCGCTGGACATCGTCTTGCATCACAATGTTATGGGAAACGCAGTATCAGAGATAGTTTTTCACAAGGAGGGTGGTGAAACACCGGCCCAGGTTGCCCAGAGAGGTGGTGGATGCCCCATCCCTGGAAACATTCAGGGTCAGGTTGGACGGGGCTCTGAGCAACCTGCTCTAGTTGAAGATGTCCCTGCTCCTTGCAGGGGGTTTGGACTTAGATGACCCTTAAAGGTCCCTTCCAGCACAAACTACTCTATGATTCTACGATCTGTGTTGTGAAAAGTTGGAGCTTCCCGAGACTGGAGTTGGCAGGGCTTACCCTGAGAGTCTGGAAGATAAATGAGGAAAAATCAAGGAGATTGAACTAAAGCCGAGGTAAGTGCAATGTCATACAATGAAAACATCGCTATAAAGAAGCAACTTGCAAAGTATAGAGGTTAACTCCATCTTTGAAAATACACCTGAGTGCAATTAGAGTTTTCATTTAAGGCAGGCCATGGAAAATAACCACATTTTTAGAAAAAAAAAAAAAAAAAGATGGGGAGGAATGGAAAGAGGGAAAGAGGTATGGCTCTTCACAAGAGAACAGTAATGACAGAGCACCAGCAAAGCATAGAAGAAAATGTAGAAATAAAAATAGATACAAATAGCAGTTAGGTATCTTGGTAGGTAAATGGGACTGCGGACAGGTTAGGTAAATATGACTGAAACCATAATATTTTTTTTTTTTCAATGTATGAAAGAGTACATGAATGTATGCACTATTTTTAATAGTCTCTCTGAGTAAGTATATACAGAAGAAAAGCACATGGAAGAAAATAAAAGCAATAGCCATTCAGTGGACAAAAAACCCCAGTAGATTCTTTCAAATAAAAACCTCATTAGACAGGTTTTGGGATTCCAGCAGTATTTTAATGAAACCAATAAAGCAAGGATAATAAAGTAGAATTAATATAGTACATGTCTGGCAAATCCTTGCTTTTCTCCCACTTTTTATAACAAAGAAACCAAACAAAAGAGAAAACAAATTTTCTAGAGACTCTTATAAATCCTAAGGGGTAGTGTTTTGCTGTTTAAAGATCTCTCTTCTTCATTAGGCAGCCAATGCTACCCCCAAAATGATTGCTATAATTACACTGATTTTTCCTTGGTATCACACTTACATTGATATAAATAATTTTCTGATATTAGTTGAGATAATGAAACCAGTATCTGACTTGTTACCCTGATACTAATTTATGGGCTGATTTGAAAAGACTTTCGTGTATTTACCAAGAAAATAAAGGCATATGTAAAAGTCATGGCCACTAAATACATAGTAAGATGATATGTGAACAAAGATAACACCATACATAAAAAAATATTAATCATGCGTCAAGGTGTCTCTTGACAACCTCTAACTTAATTGCAAATAAAGTGTCTATTGCAAACATCTAGACTTGGGAGATCAACAGACTAATCTATGTATTTAAAGTTGGAACAATGAGGTATATTCTTCAATGCTACTGAGTCACAAAACTCCCAGGGGTAATGGAATGGATTACTAAATCATGTAATAGCTGATGTTTGTTTAATGACAGCATTTCACAAAATAAAAGAAAGGGACAACAGGACTTTTCACTTTTGCCTATAGGCAAGAGGAGCTGCATAGCAAGACATACTAGTATTGGAAAGTATTATCCAATATAATTGCAGGTAAGATACCAAATTACAGTTGTGACAGAATAGATTTCCACTTGTGGTAACTTTTTGAAGCCTCATGAATGAGAAGTTATGCCTGTCTTTTGCCAGGATACAGTCTATGGTTGTTTAAAAATTTCCAGACAAGTAAAATACACTACTCAAATGCTTAAAGCACACATGCAAGAAAAGCATGGGGTACTACAAGTAAAACATAACACAGCATCTTTATTAAGAAGTCAGGTTTTTATTCCTCTAAGTTGTTTTACAGAATGATTTTTTTAATGCTGAAAAACAGAATTGAAAATAAAAAGCTAAAATATAAAAACCTTTAAAACATAAAATATAAGTATTCTAAAGAGAGTTTGGCCCACTCTGAAAGAACTGTTCCTTACCTAAAGATGCAATACAGTAAAAAGTTACGCACAATTACAAGTATTTCTGCGCTACCAGTTTGCGTAGTCAGTGGTTCTGGAATAAAAATAATTTCACTCCCAAAGTTTAACTGACTGCTAATTTGACTTTGGAATTGGAGACAGACCTGCTGAGGTCTATTATCATTCTCTATAAATTACAAGACAATCAGAGAAATAAGTTAACTGGTTCCACTTCTCACCAGAATAGACAAGGAGCACTCAAAATTCAGGAAGAGTCCAAAGGCAGTATAAAGAACGGCTGCCACCTTTCAGCTCCTACCTACTGGTATTTGTAAGCTTTTCGAGACCAAACCGTAGAGGACAGCCCTCAAGCAGATTAAGAGGTGGCTATTCTATAGCACTCTGCTCAGAAAGGGCTCACAAGTACACAGAGGAGACACCAGAAGACTTAAAGCCTAACTCAGAGACCACTTAAGCCCCAAATGACCAAGAAGCATGAGCCCAGCACTCTGCACAGCAGAAGAAAGAGGAATATAGACAGGAGAAACAAACAAGCAGGCCAGTCCAAGCATGCAGACACGAACTACTCCTGCTAAAGTAAGGCAGTCTAAGACTTGGACCAGGGCCATAATATACGTTCAGAAGGCAATTAGAAAAAGCGGTATATTTAATTCTGGTCTCCGGTTAACTGCACACGCTTAAACACACGGTGTCAGCACTGGCGGGTCAACTGAGAGTTGAGTTTAATAAGAATAAGGAGTTCAAAACAACTCAGTACTCCATCCGCAATCCCAAGCACAAAAGAACCCAAGTACTAGAAGCTTCCTACCCACCCCCGGAGTCACAGTGAACAATCTTGTTTCATTACCCTTCTCTCATTCCTCACTTCCAGGATATTCACCAACCAAAACATATAAAATACTTCATATTCCTGGAACTGTAGAATTAGAAAAATATTTGACATTTCAAACAAAAGTTGCTTTAGTAAGTTACATGTCAGATGTTTCACTTTCCACAGCAGAAAACAGAAAATTCAACAATCAAAACGGTTAAAGCTGAAATAAAATGTTCTGAATCTGTTTGGCACGGACCGGCCTGCTGTCTTTGCTAAAGAGCAAATCTGTTGACATTGAATATCTTAACACAGTGATCAGCTCCACAACTTGCAAGCTGCAACCACTCGCTGCTGTTCTGATCATTATGTCCAGCTCTGCCCGCATGATGTCTCCAACATAAACGTTTCACAGCAAGAGCATGACTTTGGCTGCAACAAAAAGAAATCCATACATAACTGCAAAATGTCAAACACAGTTGGGCATGTGAGTGTAAACATCAACATTTATATAATTAGTACTCTCTTTTTTAACACTACCAACTGAGGAAAAACTGCCTTGTGACAACCAGCAGGTATTAAGTTCTTAAAATAAGTAGGGCCATTAACAGTAATGACATTTTATCCTTTCACTCATCAATAATTTAAACAGCTATTGATTTCACGTCTTGCCACATTAAGCTGTAGGTCTAGCATCTCAATTACTGAGATATGACAGATCTCTGGCTTCTAACCTGCCATTTCCTGTCATCTGATGTTTCTTTCCAATTCACTTCAAGCACACGCAGGCCAAAGTCACCACCAACTTTCATTTCTGGTACTACCAATGCCAGTATGTGAAGGAAGGATCTAGGAGAGTGCTCCAGGTGAAACATTCAAAGTCTCTCTACAGAGTTTCTCTAGCTGTCACCACACCACCACATATAGCTTGTCATTTCTTTGGTTTCTGCTAGAAGCTGCTCTTGAAAACTTGCTGTCATCCACTCCAAAATGTTTTGGCTGATGTATATAGACAGTGATTCCTCCCCCTATCCCCCCCAGTGTTTTCTGTCATCTTATTTTATGGCTAAAGGTCTTTAAAAAAAAAACAGTTTTAAGTGGGGCCAAAGGGTAATATTTCTCAAAGCATTTGCATAGCATGAAGTATTTTGGGGTTTAAAACCCCTCCTTGGTTTTCACTGGGTTTTGTTGGGGGTTTTTTAATAAATCTAAATAACCAGTATTTTTATTTCCAGGTTTTGCTTACAGACATCTCTAGACTTTCAGGGATCATCCTTCTCCTAAAAGGATGGTAACTTTTTATACCCAAATAAAACAGTTTCATATCATTTTATACTATCAGAACAGAACACCAGCACTATTAGTCTCAAGAATAACATTTCCTTGTTCCTCACTTCAAAAGACATACCTGTTGTCCATCTCAACACACATGGTCCAATCAGCTAGTGCTGGTTCTTGCCCACTCTGCTTCCATGTGAACAAGATAATCTTCCCATTCTCTAAGCCTACTGCAACAATATACCTATCAAGAGAACAACTGCATTAGTTCTGAAAGAGGTTGCAGGAAGCAGCTTAGCGAAGTCAGCTCTAACACAAGCTAGAAAGAACTTGCAAACACGGTGTTGCATCTCACCCTTTGAGTCAATATTTACTTTTTAATGAAAAAATACTAGAATTTAATTCAAAGATTCTTCATTAAAAATGAGCAAAGCAGAAACCTGCAAAATGTATTTGGTTAGGAAATGAGTAAGGAGCTTATTACAGCATCAACCAGTCAGTATTGTTGGAACAATGAATGTATTTCAGGTGCATTAATGCCCCCTCTCCTCCTCTTTTTTTTTCTTGTTACACTGTTTGGAGAAGTCACCACACACCTGAAAAGAAGGCTAGGAAATAAAAAAGGAGAGTTAATTCAGTTCAAAGAATAGTCAAACTATTTGACAAGTAGATTTTAGGAGCTGCTTAGCCACAGGAAACTGACTAAAGTGAAAAAAAAACCCCAACTGATTTCAAATTAAACACAAAATGGCATTATAGAAAAACAACAATACCTTCCATCAGGAGTGAGCACATGGCTTATACTAACAGCAGTAACGGAATCCCCAGCATCCAGTACTGTTGAACAAGGCTTGACTGAATCCAACATATTTCCTTCAGTAGTCTCAGATAACTCACACTGGCCCCAGATAATGACCTGTAAGACAGACAATCATGCAGGAATGTTCACTTTAACCTTTTTGTAAATGCATTTACAAAAACATAAGGAGTAACTGACATTAAAATACTCCCAGGCCACAGAACAAAGTAGATGAACCCTAAAATAGTAAAAACGGTCTATCTACAAAGATTCAACTTTTTAGACAGTCTGTCTGATTCCATTAAAGATAGTGACAATAAAAATAGGTTCTGTTATAAAAGTTAAAGAAAAACTTAAGAGACCCGTAAGAGTTATGTGACATATGCTTGTCTTACTGTATGAAAAAACAAAGGACAAAAGTCCAACTGGCAGACCACGGTCTCGTACATACATATTCAAGCACTTTATTTAGGGTATGAAAGTCTCGCTGATTTCTGTGGTTAATACACACAGTAAGCTTTTTGTGTATCTATAGAATACAGGCTCATTAGAACACAGCATTTGCTAATCTAAAATACATTTAAAATAATTCTGGGCTTTTAAAAATCCTTTTATATTAATTACCTTTTTGTCCCGACTGCCAGTAATAAAATACTTGCTATCTGGTGTCCAGTCACAAGACCAAATTATTCGACTGTGAACAGCTGTATTTTTGTCTGTGTATGCACAGCAACTGAAAACTGGTCCTGGAATAAAACATATAGAGGAAAACGCTTGCTTCAACTACTCTACATATTAAAAGTAACTGTTACCCTTACTTACTCTATGTAGGAACTGCAGAAATACTCAGACATTATTCCACTCATCTTTAAAGCAACTGGGAATACTTAGCACCACATAAATATTTTTCTTCCAACACTTACCACAATGATAACTAGCACTTGTTCAAGACTGTATCAGTCAGCCCTTATAGCACTAAAACAGTAGTACAGTTTGATCTTCTACACACATATCTGTTTCAAAAGAATTTAAGTTGAAGTATAAGACCTTCAGGTTCTTTCTATACAAGTTTTTTCATAAGAACACTGACTTCAAAAGTTGTAGTATAGTGCAACGTTTACCATGTGTACACTTATCCCCAATAATTTCACTACAGTTCCTATTTACCAGTAAAGCCCCAAGAGCTCAAATCATAATGATTAATCTGTTCCCAAAAAGACAGGCTGTCATTTCAATATGCATACAATCAGGTAATAAATTTGATCAGCAGATCAGTAAATGGGAATGACTTTCTGAAGTAGAAGAGAATGTCATTTTGGAGCCCAGACTCTTAACAAACACCTCTTAGGATGCCAATACCAGTAGTTTTGCTTTACACTGATAACGATTTTCTCTGTAGACAGAGAAGTTATTGATGAACAGATGAAAAGAAGATTTCCTCTACTTCCTATGAGAATTCATACTCCTTATCCTGAAACATTGTGTAACTACTGTGGACAATATGCCAAGCTTTAGAATAGAAGTCTGAATAGAACAGAAATCTCAAGCCAGGATGCAACCGGACACTGTCTGAAAGGGCCAAAACTCACTGCCAAGTCTCTAGGAAAACTGTACAGAGGCCAGTAGTGTTTATGTGCTATTAAAGCCAACAGTGCAATGATAAACGTTTTCAGCACAAGCATCTGTTCTAGGAAACCATTAAAATGTTCAATAGCTGTCTCCTCATGATTCTACAAGGCTCAGAGTCTTAATGAGAAAGTCAACTGAATCTTTTCTATCAGCTCTTTTCCCAGACAGAGCCAGTCCTAGTCAAATTAATCAATTGTGTGGGATTATCAGAAAGCCACACCAAAGACAGAGATTAGTCCTATCAAGAGTCTCAAAGTGTCATGCCCTGCAAACAGGGACAAGGCAGCTCTATGAAGGACACACACGTAGCAATGAACCTCACAGCCTATCCTGCACAGATCAGAGATGTGGATCATCCTGGATAGAACACCAGTTTGATGTTCAGGCATTACACTCCATCACGTATACTTGATTTCAGTAAATCCGAAACATACAATCACAAGCAGAAGGCAGGAGGACAAACAGCAAACTTCATTACATCCATCAATCAAACAGCATTTAAAGCCTGATTATATTCTTCTACACATTTTAATTCCCTTTTTAGCTTTCCTATAGACCATTAATTGCACTTCTTAAAGTCACAGGAGCTTACAACACTATTAATTCTTAAATGTTGTAAGGAAAATAGCCATTAAAATATTTTACCAATTCTCTTTCAAAGATTTTTAAAGCCAGAAATATCGAACAAACCGCAAAGTCGTCAAACGTGTATATCCACTTTACATATTTTACCTGACTCTGAGTCTCGTTTCCTCCACAGTGACCAATTCCTGTCTCTAGAAACCGCTAATAAAAATTTGTCATTAGGAGAAAATGCCAGCTGAGTAACAGTCAGATTGTGAAATGACAAACTCTGCAGTTTCTTCCAAGAAGTAGTGCTCCACAAAATGATTGCTGCATGTTCTTTTTTGGAAGCCTGTATTGATGGAAAAAATATCAGTGAGAATTATGAAAGCAAATATAAAAGTCACAGGTTTCAAGATCCTAAGATGTTAGGGGACTTGTTTTAAGGCTTGCAATCAAGTTAGAATAGCTTTCCTCTGGGAAGTTTCAAGATTGTTTCACTACTCTCTACTAACGCTGACAATATACCAGTAAGAAAATGTTTTATAACTGTATTTGTTAGAATTTATCTTACTACTATCTTCAAATGAATCATACATAATTTATGAATAATAGCTTCTCTGCATTCACTCTCACCTTTGCAAGTCAACTGTCATCGATACAAAATCTTTCTCATGTAAGTGAAAGAACAGAAGTCAGCCCAAACCAGATTCTGACTCCTCCTCTGTCAGTCCTAGAAACCTGGTGGCACTTTTCACTAGATGGTGCTAGAATCTTTTCTTACCTTACATGCTGAGGCAATTACACTGTTTGCATTATTGCAAGCAACACAAAAAATTTCATATCCATGTCCATATCTGAAATAAATGTGAAAAGATATTTAACACATGACAGTCATTTTTGCAGTAGGTATCAAGGTTCTTATGTTAATTTAAATCCCTTTGCAAATATGAAAGGCACATGCCAGGAACTTCTTACCACTGTTTCAGTATTACATCCCAAATACCTCCTAATAATGTTCAGCATTCAACTGAAACAACATCTGCATAAATTCTTTCATGTTTAGGAACTGACTACAGAACAATCTCTCTAGCTCATTCCATAGCCCTAAAGCGACAGCACTGCAGAAGCTACACTAATGATTAACAAAGCAGACTAAAGCAGCTTTTCACATATTATTATTTTCCTTATTCTTATTTTAAAAGCAATTTTAACACTACCATGAAAAATCAGAAGCCACATATTTGAAGATCACCAATGAAATACACCACAAACACCCAGCCAAAGGATGCCCATTCTGTGAAATACTAAAAGAATTTCTGAATTAGAGAACAAGAATCATGTCAGAAAAGAACACTGTAAAAAAACCCAAAACTTCTAGCTTCCTCCAGAAATGCATTTTTAATCAGTCTTTGTACAAGTTCTGCTGGAATTCAAGCTCACATGTCTGGACTGGAATTTAACTAATAAGCAGAAATGCCACACAGACTAACACAAATTAAAATCAGTCAACAAAACAGACTGGAAGTAGAGTAAAATTGGAGATGCAGTCTATAAACAGTGGACAAATTCCAGCTAAATATCAGCTGCAGGATCAGGAAGGGGGAGTGCTTTGATTCCTAGCTCTGAAGAGATGGGCAGTTCTCCTAATAAACTCCTTTGGTCAGCAGTGTTGCAAAGAAGTTCTTATATGGGATCGATGTTCATGGGATTCCACTTGCAGCCAAAACAGCCATCTGTTTAAATGACAAATTACTGAATGTATCTGTTGAAAGGAGTCCAGAAGAGTCACTGCCAGGCATATCCCATAGACAGACTCCCACACTCACCTCTGAAGGTTGGGGATGCATTGCCTTTTTGTGAAGAGTAACTGTGCCTGCACCTTCAGTGGGGAGAGATACTGGTAGATGCGCTTAACTGGAATGTTAATTTGCAAATATGATTGTATCTTATAATGATGAGGGTACTACTGCGTGTCTTCCCCTCACTCTGCCACCAGCAGGAGTTTTATCACAATGCTCACTTTTAAAGCACGTTCTTGAAGACTATTTTGTAGGAAAAAACATCAAAAGTCATTATTTTAAAACTGAAAAGTATTTATTCCATTAAAAGTATAGATTTCCTGAAATTCAATGAAGGAAAAAACTTGTGGAACAACTTGGGAAAAAAGTCCTGTTACTTTGGTTTTATCTCCTAAATGTAGTATTGAAGAGCACTTGACAGAAAAATTTTGAGCTTCTGCAAGCAACTTTGTTCTTGCTAAATAGAAGCATTATAAAGTAATCTTTCTCTTTAAATTAAAATAAAACCCAAAATACTATCTTTTGCAAAGTCACATGAGCAGGACTATCATAGGTCAGACCGACAGCCTATATAGCCCAGTGCTGTCTCAGTAAAGAGAATAAAGTTAGTGGCAACAGGAGATGCTGGCCACAAGAGTTGCATGTGCCTTGGAAGTACAGAAGCTCCAGTACAACCCCTTCCCCTGCCCCCATACACACAATCTGAACCCTTCATTATGTAGTACAACATGAAAAACAGGTTCACAATGGAGAGAAGCATGAATGAATAATGAAATGATATTTCAACCACAAGCGATTTTGCCTTAGCAACGTGGAATTCATATAGCATTTTTTTCTGCACAGATAAACTCACTGGACTCTCAAAGTACCCACAGAAGTAATTACAGTAATTTTTTAGTGTCAAAAAGGATCTCTCAAGACTTCCAAGTGTACTACATGAAATGTACATAACATATAAACATATATATTTACGTCAACACTCAGGCTTTAATCTCAGCCTGCTGCATATAAACTCTCTATAGTCATTTTCCAAGAGGATAAAGATTAGCATCCTCTCACAGGATTTATCATATTTTTATTTTAAAGTTATTAGATTATGTATAAAATTCAGCAAGTTCGTCTTACTAAAACCTACCCAAGCAAGCAGTTTTCAAAACCCAACTCCAATCCTTCAAAACTTGGTGTCAAGTTAGAGCTGGAAATACACAAACATCAATAACAAACAAGCTATATTTAGCAAGTCAGTTCCTCATACTGTTTTTCTGCTGCTATGGCAACTCGAAATCTACATTATGAGATTTCATTTTACTTTCAAGATTATCCTGAGCAAAAAACCTGAAAGTCTATGAATGTTTTACATCTCATTGCCCTTGCATAAAAGAATTCCTATCATCAGCGGTGTCTCTAAAAAACAAAAAAAATTGCTCAGGTAAGTCACCTGAAGACCATCATAAAATGGAGTTATTTTAATGAATGCAGGATATAAAAAACAGGTAGGCAGTATTCCTGTAGCAGAATATCAAAGATTAATGTCTCACTAGACTTTGAGAAATGTCAAAAGCAAATAAAGAAAAATTTTGGCCTTGGCTCCTTTTCACTACTTACAGATCCTTCATCAACCTCCTTATGCAAGTGGGCACATTAGCAGCCATAGCACGCACAGAAGAAGCGGTTAACGCAACAGTTAGAAATTACAAAATGTGCATATATAGTCTAATATCCACCAGCTTCCCTCCTAGAAGCACTTTTGAGTACAAACACAGTAAAAAGAGCTTAAAAGCACTCAAAGAAGATTAACTGCCCGGTTGAAGGTAAAGATGAGTTCTCACAGAACCTCCCACTTGGTCAAATGAAAACAACCTGCAAACTGTTTTCCCAAAGCTTTTTATTTCCTGCCCCCCAACTGAAGTCACAAAACTGGTAATGTATAAAGGTAGCTGTAATCATCAGCAAAGGCTCAACATTCTTCTTGTTCCTGGCCGAGACCACTCTTTCAGGTGACTCAGATAAGTAAACCCGTAAGAGCTTGAGATGATTCATTTCTTTGTGCTATACTTTGAAGATTGATAGTAAAACTTTGAAGATGTGAAAGTGCAGCCTAATGTTATCGGGATTGTTAGGGAACAAACAAGGTGATAACCTTCATTTGCAAATTGTTGTGAATCTTGGAAAAGGAACAAAATACAACTGAAGAATTCTAAAACCCTGCAATCTCAAAACAATTATTGTCATGACCACATAACTTTTTGCAATCCACAACCAACTCTGTCACCATTCAATACCTAAACTGGTTTTGTAACCATCTTACTCAACATCCATCACTTTGCCCTACCACTAGACACATCCTATTTTGGCTGCTGCTTCCATCTATTGCACCTTACAACTCTTCTAGACTTTAGGGGGAAGCTCCTCCTTTGATGCCTCAGCCTTTACTTCCATACCAGAAAGACAAACTTGCAAGTCTGTGCCAGGGAGTGGAAAGAAGCAGAAGACTCCTTATGCAGAGAGACCTTTAGTATGGGCAAGATTTAAAGCAGATGTGCTGAGCAGACATAAACAAAGGCTGCAGCATGAAGAGAGAGGCCCATCATATTCCAGAGCACAGGTAAGACCATGAAAACATGCTACACGTTCTTACAGCAAACAGAAGCCCTACTATTCTCTTGGCACAAAGAGGAAAGAAAAAAAACAAACAAAAAAAAAACCCCAGGGATCAGTGCCCTAAAGAGACCTTCAAAAGACAAAACATCCAAAGGGACAATGAAAGTCTGATCATTACAAATTCAAAAGAATACCTTTGTGCTAAAAACCATACATATTTCGCTGCTACAGAAACAACTAGTGAAATAATATTTTTCGAAACATCAGTTCTAACCTCCATTTTCTGCAGTTTCCTAATTTTTATAGATATATGTATTTATTTTACAAACAATACACTGCACACAAAGTCAAATCAGGTAGTAAAATAGGAAGAATTACAAGACTAGACTACATTAATATGTTGCAATAGCTTTCTGGAAATTTTGTAAATTAAATAAAGAAGAAAAATAAAACTTACAACTTCTGAATTTCAGGCCACAAGGTATTCTGCAGCAAGTGATCCTCTGGAGGAGGTTCTAAAAGACATTTGTACAACATATTCAAATTTGATGCAAAATAGTCTAAAAATCAGCTAAATAATGCTTCAAGTTTATATCCAATGAACCTCATTGGATGAATGGATCCAATGAAACTCTATTTCCTACAACAGAAAAATGAATCTCATACCTGTAAGGATCAAGGGTTGAAAATAAATCTCAGGATACTGATTTGAAATGGTATTAAATGTTTCTTCATCCTCAGCTGGTTGAACAGACATATCTCCTGTTCAAAGTAAGGACTTCATTAGCTACAGCAAACATACTTTACAGGAGGGAAAATATGAGCACTTATTATACAGGTAAAAAAATTTTTTTTTTTTACAATATAAGTAATTGAAATTAGGTTTCTCTGAATTACAGGAATATGAATATTAGAATCTAGTTATTCTAATGCTCATGAGAATGAGGAGGAGAAGATGAAAAAATAATTTAATCTTTGGACTAATTTCATTCTGAGACTGACCCCTCTCCATCAGCACAGTCTCTTTTAGAGATTCTTAAAGAGACTTTGATTTACCTGAAAGAAGCAGTCACCAGGAGTTGAACCTGTGCTTCACCAACATTAAACCTTTCCTTCTGTATTTGAAAATGCTTAAGGCAAAAATCTCAGATACCAGTGATGAATTCCTAAATTTAAGGTAGCCCCGTAATTGAAAAGCCATACTTGCAGAAGGGCATCTACAATTTTCAAACTTCAGCAAAACTGCCAAGGGCTCAGTCCTTAGCTTTAGGCAAAATTATCAGAAGTAACTGAAATTACTCAGTTAATTTTAAGTTAAAATTGAACTCTGTCTTTCACTTTGAACGTATTATTTAAGAAAAAGGTACAGAGTTGGGAAACAGTTGCTCTCAGACAGAATCTATCTTTTTGCCAAATGTACATTTAAAATACAGCAGTTTAAAAAAGCAGGTATAGAAAAAGCAGAACAGAAAGACCATGTTCTCATTCACCCTGTCTTCTCTCCCCTTGAAAATTAAATTAGCCACATTTATCTAATTCAAGATCGTTATCTGATCATCGCTCACCATGAAGATTCCTCTGCAGAATAAGCAAGAAGAGAGGTCTGTAGGGCTTTATCCTAAGCCATCAGTGCTGACAACATTGGGTGGGCAATGGTGGACAACGCAGGAAAATTTGACAGCTTTTCTACTCATACTGCTGCTTCTGGGTGTGCCACATGACATTAATGGAAATTAGTTATGCTATGTGTGACGATACTCTAGAGAAGGAAGTTTTGTTCCCCCTCTCAGCAGAAGGACCCATGAGATGGCAAAAAAAAAAAAAAAGAGTTTTTGCCAAAATGTATTTTATGAGTTACTTCAACAAAGCTACTTTTCTTTCATAGAAGATTTAGGAAAATTCAGCTGTATCGCCACTGAAGACCCTGGAGACAAAGCTTATTAAAAGGCTTCCTTTTTTAATTCACACCTTCTGATAAAGCTTTAAGCAAAGAAAAAACCGGTCTGACCTTATTCGTAGATTCCAGTGCAAGTGCATTTTTACCAGAGAGTTTATTAAACACCAGACTACCAGTCCCATCTCCAGTCTCAAGACACTACTCAGCTATTTTTATGATTCTAGATAGATGTTTGTCGCTCCCTCCTTGTTCCCCCCACAATGCAGTCCCCACCACTTTTCCAAGAAAATTCATCCAGTGCCTCACCAGCCTTTACCAACACAACACTGGTTACTGCTGGCTAACTAATTCTTCCTTCCCAAATACTTCACAAAGCATCATTTACCTGGAGAAGGTTTATGGTTATTTTCACTGAAACAGAAAATGTGACTGATCCCTCTCAAAACATCGTTACTTCTGTAAGCCTCTACAAGGATGCTAACATTTGAGGAGATTGTGAAAAGGATTCCATAATATAGCTTCGGAGGTCAAGATATTTTACAGAGAAACCACAAGTAGCAACAGGTAGTTCTGCTTTAACAACTCTGAACCTAGTTTTCACAGTACGCTATTCAATACTAATTTTTTTGGCTAAAAGTCATCAGTCTTCTCAAGTAGTGAGCACGGAGGAATCAGAGGAACAATGGCAGGTCAGGGAATTCAAATAATATCCTGCCCTGGCAATTCCCAAACTGATCACAGGAGAGCAATGAGCCCCAGTGCCTGTGTGAAACTCATCAAGATCAGCCAACAGGAGAGGCTCTTGGGAACACTGCGCAGACTGAGTGGGGTTACTTCCTATAGGGGTGTGGGACACAGTATAGGAGGCAGGGAAAAAGGATTCTGGGTATGCACAAGACATTAGGGGATGTGTAGGGGAGAAAACCAAGGCAGAGGAAGGGAAGAAAGACTGTCACTAGCGCTTTTTTTGTTATTATTTTTAAGCACCATATTTAGGTGCTGCCAGAGAAATAAACACTTTGTACAATTTTAGTTCTAGATTCTAAATGTGCAGTCAAGCTTACAATCACAGCCTTAACAAAAAGACATACGCTAAAACAATAATTTAAAATTAAAAAAAAGTTTCCACACGAAGCACCATCACCATTATTTCTTATTAGCCATACCTTCAAAAATGGCTTTATTGGATAATCCCAAAGCTGGCACAGTTGCACCTTCTGGAAGATCAGATGATTGCTGAATAAAAAACACAAAAACAAAAACAAAAAAACAAACCCAAACCAAACAAAGAAAGGTTACACACATTGTCATGTAGGTTCAGATTTCAAAGATCACAGTTTAAGAAATCCCTGTGATAAAGAGACTTTTCTGAAGAAGCGAAGGGGAGTACTTTGAAAAACTCCCAACTCATCCAGAATATACCCTGAACAAAATGAAGTCCAGTACTCTGCCAAAAAAGAAAGCTTTTCTAAGGCCTCAGCTCAAGGGTTTTGCTGTAAAGCATGCATCTTCATCCCTAATTTCAGGTTTTCTTCCACAATCTTATTTATTCTAGGATATACATGATAATTAATCAACTGAGAGCACTGCAGTTTTTAACACAGTAAGACTGAGAAATAGCCTGTTCTGAGGTGAAATAATAAAGCAGCGTTTTGGAAAAGGGGACAGAGCGTGATTGCCTGTGCCCACAACTTCAAACACAAGTCAGGACATAACACAGATGTGGCTGGAGTATGTGGCTGTTCAGAGCAGCACAGATGAAAGACCAATCATCAGACAAAAAACACTTCCATAAAGGTATGGGGGAAAAAGCCAAAATTTGGAAAGGGTAAGTGAAATTGGAGTCCTTTGTGCAGAGATGGAAAAAGATTAGATTTAATAGCTGTAAAACCCCTTCCCTACAGTAACTGAACACCTCAAAGAAAGACTGTTTTACAGAATTTGATTAATAATTAGGTGACAGCTTAAAATACTATGTTATTTATTTAGATGTTCATAAATTGATGAGGAAATGTATGACACACATCAGTCTAAGGTCTCTGGAACAAAAATGGGTTTTCATTACAACCCAAATTATAATACGACTCCATGGATTTAAACTGAATATAATCCCATTCAACCCCTTTACAAATATAAAGCTGGCTTTTTTGGTTTTAAGTACTTTTTTGGAGAAAGCGTTTGAGCTAAATTAAGAAAAAGCTTACCCACTGTAATGAAAAAAAGCATTCACAGAAAACAATTTCGATAAAGCTATTTAAGAGTAGCTGTATCATTAGAGCTCATAAAGCCTTCCTCTTTAAACAAAGCCCACGTGAAACACTTTGTCATATCATGAATCAAAAAATAGTACTCAGAGGAACAGCTGATAAGGAAATTCTATATAAAAGTAAAATAATGACGTCTGCCAGCATTATAAAAGCACAATGTTATTTGTACAATGTCATTAATGTAAATGCTTACAAAGTCTAACAGAATTAAAGTGCTAAACAGCTACTTATGTAACATCTTGCTATCAAAAATAAATAGATTTCTTTCCCAAATGTTTCAATTGTTAAGTGAAATGGAACGGCTAATCATCTCTGAGGAGCTGCACAGAAAACACTGCTTTTGAGCCAGAAATGCAAAGGGCTGGCAAGGCACTGTACAGAGGCAACTATCCTGAATGACGTCTGCTCTCAAGAAATGCAGAGAAAACCAGAATTAGATCTTAAAGCCAATGGGGAGCAAACAAAGGACAGCAACTCTGCAGTCTTACCTTTCCACTGAGTAGGAAAATATATTTACCGAAAACTACAAACTAGAACATAAAGGCCTCAAGAAAATTTCCAATGCCAAGAGGAAATAAAGCATGAGCAAGTACATATTTATAAATATTTATATGTAACAACTAACAACAATGCTGAAATCTTTACACTATTTTCAAGCATAAAATTAAAACAAAAAACAACAACACATAACCACACAACAATAATTACATCTAGACAAGACTACTACAGTCTTAAATTAAGGAGAAGCACATTCCCAGGCTTTATTGTTTGCTTTCAAATCACCAAGTATGTACAGTAGTCTTAGTCTGACTTATTTACAATTTACCCATACCCTCTGCAACCTTCAGACACCAGGTCTTGTTTAGTTTCACATACAACCTGTTTTATAAGACCACCATGGCAATACATATGAAACAACACACATGGAAGAAAACAGAGGGAAAGGAAAAATAAGGTTAAGGTTTCAGAACTATTAAAACAATTTTTACCGAGTTTAGTGCAATTTGACGTTTTCTAAAGCATAAATTTTATTTACATGAAAGCAGGCTGTCTTCATTTAGCATTGCTTTAGCATACTTACGTGGGAGCACAGCTTCTCCACTGGAATACCAGTGATGTTACTGAAATTTTCTATAAAATTCTTGGGAGCACAAAAAACTCGAAGCACTTTTTCATCTGCTCCCGACACAAACTGAAACCGGCCGATCATTGCCAGACAACGCATGTCATATCCATGTACTTGAGGCCTTGCAATTTCATGCCAGGTTACCTAAACAAACAGACATGCAGTTAAAACACAATTCTTAACCAGAGAAGCAGCAACATTTCCAGTTCAAAAAAATAATACTTTACTTGTTGACTTTTTTAACATAAAGGAAATTTAATAGCAACCTTCTACTGACATTCATAAAGCTGATGTATGCTCACATACATCAGTTAAATCCTATTTTTCCACCAAACAATTCCTGTAATTAGTAAACTGTGTCCCTGCACAGATATGTTTAAGGCATTTGTTTACCTTTGTTACTAACGGCACACCACACTTCCTGTGACTTCTTTACACTACACAGCCAGGAACAGGACATAATTTACTTAAGCAAAAGGAGGACTGTATGCTACTTAACTACTTTCAAAACAGTATCTCTGGAAGACCTAAGAAAGGTAGTGATAGTTACCTCGCTTCCTTCATCTGTCTTTCACAAAGCACAGCAGCACTGCTGTCAGTAGGCTACAGGTTCCTACTTCCCCCCTTTCTTTAAATACTTGATTTTAGTGAGACCATTTAATAGAAGCTTTGCAAAAAACTGATGAAACAGAAATAGTTTCCTATAGGAAAAACATCTGGAAAATCCTGATGATTTTAGAAGTGTTTTCATTTGAAGTATTTTTTTTTCTAGTTTCCTGAAATATTCATAACCACACTTCAAGTATTAATCCAAGAAAACCATAATTAACAGCTGACCAGAAATAAGGTAGACAAGTTAGTTTTATAGTCATGCTAAGCAAAGAATATTAGCAAAAAAAAATATTATTTAAATTCCTTTTCTAAAATTCTAATTTATTCTATACATGAAAAAATTGACTCTCAAAAAAACCCACTTTGTTTTCTAGCAAACACACTTTCATGAAAAGACTTTTAATAACTGCCATTTGCTACTACTCCTACATGATACTTCAGTTGGAAAAATACAGTGTGCACTTTTGAGTTAACAGCTAGCAGAATTAGAATTGATTTAATCAATTAGAATTAATTATACTACTTCAGTATTACAATGCCTGAAAAATTGCAGCTAAGACAGAATTTACATTGTACTAGATATCATACAAACTGTAAGGAAAGGCATTAAGCTGACTGTGAACTGCACACAGCATACTAAAAATTCAATTGAGTTTTGAATGTCTAAGCTTTCAACAGAACCTGAATGAGGTATTTGAGAGATCCTACAAAATCCCATGTTTTCACAAGAGCTTGATTATTTTCCAATGAGAAAAGAGCATTAATTCTTTAAAAACAAACAAGCGAACATTGCAATAAACCCTTCTTACCCTTTACTAGGTGCATCATTGCAGACTTTAGAATACAGCACACAACAGGAATGAAAATAAAAACCACAAACCACAAAACGGACAACAAGAGTCATAAGTCATGCAATAGGTCAGGCAATAAGCTTCTTCCAGAAAAATCAGGGTGCAAGTTTGCATAACAAATTGAAGCTGACTGTTATCCCTCATTTCTGATGTTTGAGCCCAGTACGGTATCAGAATTGAGATTTTAAGAAAGGATAATTATTTGCATTTAACAGTTCTCTTTTTATAAAGAAAAACGTGAATATTGAGCTCCAGTATTAACTTTTCAAATATCCAAACCACCCATTGTGTCTTGTTAAGACAAACACCAGGCATCACCTGTTGTAATTTTTCAGATGCTAAACTCAGTGTGGTAAAGAAAGTAAGGCATTTTAAAAGCCAATGTTATCTAAGTTGATGAGCAGCCGAACTAAACACCTGGTTTTCAGGGTTCAGAAGTCCTGAACAGATGTCTTCAAATGATACATTTCTATCTCAGCCCTCCACCTCACCCCACCGACAGGATACTGTAGCTTTCTCCCACATCCCATGCAGCAGCAAGTGTTGACACTATTTGGATTTACACCTGGTCAAACTAGCCAGGTGGCTGCTCTGTGTCAGACCAGGAAGGGGAAGAACAGTAACTCAGTTCACACCAAACAGATATGAAGACTACAATCACTCTGCTAAATCAATTAATTCAAAAGTTTCAGAGACAGCAGGAACAGCTATACAAGTAAATCATACAAAGCTCAGCTCTTTCAGTAAATAGGATTAGAATTTAGCAAGCAGCATAAATAAAGAGTGGTATTTTGGCAGGTTGCTGAGAACGTGGTAGTGACAACTATTTTGAATGCTGCCAATTTACATCATGGGCTAGTCCTGGACTTTCCTTCCATATGTCAAATCCAACATACCATCTTTTTGACAGAGCTGTTGGACCCTCCAGACTGGAGGTTAGGAGAAAAGGCAGGGAAGGAAACTGGGTATGGCCTTTCTACAACACAAGGCAAACCTTAGCACTTGAGCTGGGATTGCCACCACTTCTGCGTGGCCTGGAAGAAGGAAATCAAGGCATCTATGCCAAATTTAACTCTCCCAAAAACATCAGACATTCTGTGCTGGTCTACACTACAGAAGCTATGATGAGACAGTTGTAATAGTCACCCTTTGCCTTCCCCAACTAACAGCACAGCTTGCACAGGGCCTTACATGACTTCAGTCTAGTTTCTGCCAGTGTCCTGAGTGGAACATTAATACTTTTCTGCCAGAAAAAGCTGCATTTGTAGATGAGGATAATGCATAAGCAACTAGAAACAGGAACTGTTGCATTCCTAGACAGAGTTTTTCACACCAAAATTTAGACTTATTTTAGAACACGCAAAGTTTTTCAGGAATAATTCTTCCTGAAAAGTTGTTTGCACAGGTACCAATTGCACTCATGCAATTCAGATCATCATTCCAGTAACACAGTCTCATAAACAAAACAGTGTAAAAAGTGAGAACTTTGCTTAGATTAAGCTTGCATTAAAAAAAACACAACCAAAGTTGAGTTACTTTATGATCACCTGCAGCAGTGCTTAGCCAAGTGTCAAACAAGGGCAATATATAGTTATTAGAATCAGCCATGTATTCCTCCTGAATTACTGCAGAGCCTTGGTTTTTAAGACCCTGGGAGAACACTAACTGAAGGTAAACCAGAGGTGAACTCAGGATTAAACAGCAGTCATGCTATGTGATTGCTAAAACTGACACTAGTGTTTTTAAAGTGAAAACAGCACATACTGAATGACCAAACCAAGCATTTACACAAGCAGTTTTGAACAGACCATGGCTTGAGGAAATTTGTTTCAGTTATATTCAGGTGACTTGTTCCAAATTCAGAACAGACAAGCCCTCTTTACCAAGCCAACAAAATTTTTCAAGATCATACCTCTGCCTCTTGTTTTCTTTTCCATGGAGCAAAGAGTCTAGTAGTTTGATCAGAACCAACACTGATGATAAACTCTCCTTCTGGATCCCACTTTACATCCTCTACACTGTTAAAATGTCCTGAAATCACAACTTCTGGAGTCCATTCTTTCTATTAAAAAAAGTTACCAAAGAAGCAAGGAGTTTTCAATTGACTGATTGGCATATTGTAACCAAAATAAAAGTATCAACATCCTTATTAAGAAAGCAAAAAAAAAGACATTTGAAAACAGCAAATTATTAGAACTCAGAGCAGCTAAAGAGACACAAATACTGATTTATTGCTCCCATCTAAAAGAAACTTATATTACTGGTTCAGCTGCTACTTCTGAACAAAGCCCAACCACAAAAGAGTTCAGTCTATTCCACTGACTTTATGGTTCCCACAGGAAAGCAACAGGTTTTAGAGCCTGGGAGATTGCAAGCTCCCTTCTATGCAGGAGCGAGACTCCTACAGAATATTATATTCAGAGAAAGACTACTTCATTAATTTCAAATTGTACTCTTACACTTTTCTATTAATAACAGAACTCACCTCAAGTGACATACAAGTGTCACTTGTACTTGTCATACAAGTGTTTTAAGTACTACTAATAAAAAACAAACAACATACCTTATTAACTGTAGCCTGTTTCCAAAGGTGTAGTGCACCATGAAAAGCATGAGCAACAATCATTGAACCATCTGGACTAAACTGACAGTCAAAAAATCCAAGGGTATTGCCACCCACTTCACCAACTCGCACCTGAATTAATGGTCAGAAGTGAAATATCTGTGAAAATGGCCTTCCATTCACATAAACTCATCCTAATCTCACGAGATGAAAATGTATCTATAGGCAAGAGTTCACATTACACACAAAAATCCATTTAAAGAATATTTTAATTGTAAAATTAAGTACTAAAATATCATGGGAATTAAAGCTGCACGCATGCCACTTTAATGGAGCCTCCCTTCATAAACATCTCATGATAGCATCTTGCTCAATGATTTCTTTCCCCCTCAGGGGAAAGAAAACACTACGCTAGATGAGACAAGAAACCAATCATTCTGTATTTCAGTCCAGTCTGTTGGATGCAACAGTTTCTTTGTCATCTGTTGCCTTGCATTGCTCTATTGCACAAAATGGAAAAATGGTCCAAAGGAACTGTGGTTCCCAATTACGTTTCCCTCCCCTTAATTTCCAAGATTCACTACTGTATTTCTACTCCTCTGTTTCTCCAAGAATCCCTGCAATTTGCTCCATATTCCTTCTGTGGCATACTTTGGCCTCCGTTTTGTGCTTCCCTTGTGTCTTTCCATGTACGTGTGCATGCATACACACACGCCTTATAGTTGCTCTAGTACTCTTCCAAGTTTTTAATTACATTAAAAGATTATTAAAGTTATATTTTCAAGTTTTATTCAAGAGATGAGACCACAATTCCTTTCAAGTTGAACTCTTAACAGTTCCCTCATTGTTATACATCTGCTTTTAAGATCACAATTAAATTCATCTATACTTCATTCTAAATGGCTGCATGGACTAGTATATCCACTTTATTAACACTCACTCAAAAAACTACCGCTCATATGGAAGTGACTTTGATACACCATGCTAGAGGCAGAATTCTAGTCTCACCTCTAAGCAGGGAAATGATTTTGTGAAGACTTCTTGTTCATCTCGTTCATTTCAAAATGAAAGAGAGAAAATGGGATGTTCCCCTTTTGCCCTTCCTCCCTGCAGGCTTCCAGCTCAAGTTTCCCTCCCTCAATGCAAAAAGGATTGTTGCAGTTAAAATGTCTGATCTGAACTGCAAGCTGCACATTTGAAGTCTAACCAATGCAAACAAATGTAAAGCATAACAACTTGCAACAAGCTTTACTGCACAAGCCATTTTTAGAATCTTGCAAATTTAGCCACAACTAAGTGTTACAACTAGGGACAACAAATGGCATCTCTACATGATCACTCTATTATGAATGAATTTCTACATCAAGTAGAAGGGCACAGGAACTTTTCAATGGAACAGGGGAAAAAATAAATACACTAGTTCTCTTCTTTTTTCCACCCAAGAGAGGATTAGAACTTTCTTGTTGACAGGAAAGATCATAAACAACAGTTGGCATAACCCAACACAATTTCAGCCAAACTACTGCAATTTGGAAAAGCAGGTCAACTGAAAATGAAGACATCTACCAAAGCACTAGATAAATCTGATTGTACTACTTGTTTATTTAATATTGACATTAGAACAGTGTTCAAAATACTACAGTGACACATGAGTATCCAGCTCAAATGGAAGAAAAACCTAATGACACAGCCCATGAACAAGTTAGTGTGAGTAAAACGAGGCTTGTGAATTCCATGTCAGCTGCTCTGTAGTAACTGCATGCGTGCACATTCCCATGAGGATTAACTACAAATCATTTAGGAGTGTTTCTTCCTCTTCTTACCAGAAGTACACAGCATGTGTTACTATGGAGCACATGGCTTGTTATACTAGGAATGACAGTTGAGCACAAACTCCCCTTAGAAACTCCCCAAAATTGTAATAAACAAGCAAGCAAACAATAAAAATCATATTGCATCACATACTTTTTGAAAAATATAGCTTTACTTACAACACAGCATGAGTATTTTTGCAAGAAAATGCTTTTGCCTTTTGCAGCATTTCACAGAGTTTTTTGTTCCCTGCAGTACACACACAATGCTGGAAACACAAGTTGAATACGCAAGTTTGAGGAAGACTGCCACTTGCCTGTTCCAGCCAGACTCCAGATTCCTTATCAGGTTCCCAGATGATCACAGTTTTGTCCATTGATGCAGACAATATCCTCATTGGTTGTTGCATGCTGCCATCTACAGTACAAAGAAAACTATTACCCTACAACCTATGAGAACACTTTCTAAAAGAATTTGGTGATATTGAAATCCAAACACACTTAACAAAATTGGTCAGCATCAGAGACATGTAATGCAGTACTTAAATGCCACTTAACAGGCTTTACGTTCTTTTCAGGTGTTCATTAGGAGGCATTGTATTTTTCAGCCATAATCTCCCAAAGGAAATGTAAAACACATGCATGAGAACAACCATATTCTGCTGTTTGTTCACTCCAAATTAATATTGAAACAAATGTAATTTGGAGGAAAAGCCAGCGCTTCACAGAAAGACTGCATAGCAGTTCTCAGTTCTATTCTTCAAATAAGTTTTTACCAAAAGATTTACAGTATAAAACAAAGTAATCTCTATGCCAGTACTCACTGTTGGGTTTTTTTTCCAAATTAAGTGCTGGATTCACTACAGACTTCAACAGACTTGTAATACATACAGTAGTAAGGACTGCTCCCCAAAAATGCAGTGAAACACTCCAAATTGCCCAACACAGTCAGAATGGGGAAAAGGGAACTGGTTCATCATCCAGGTGCAAAACCCATAGGCAAACCACTGAGGAAACTTTCTTGAGAATAACAGAAATTGGTGGACATATCACAAGGTGGTATCTTATGTCAGCACCAGACTTCCTACCTTCTGCACTGAGAATATGTGTCTCAGATCAGTCTGCCTCTACTGAAGAAGAAAATCTATTTTGGGGAACCCAGGATTGAGCAGGGCACAGAATGCAAGCAGCTGCACATATGCAGAAGCATGATGTAAGACACCTGGAAAACTTGACAGTCTTACAGGACAGTTTTTCAGATTGCAGTGCAAGACTTACATGCCTATATTGTGCCTAAACCTTGCTTTAACAGGAAAAATCTTGTATTGGTGTCTACAAAAAAAAAAGTTAAAAGAACTGATAACTAAGTATTTCTAAAGCAAGTCCTGTGTCTTTCACTACAGGTATTTTGACACTCTAATTGCACTCTACTGTTCAAGTGTTGTATATACACTGGCAAAGTTGTGCTTTGTACTGGTGAAGCTGCCTGCCATCAGTAACTCCAAAACATCTCAGAAAAAGGCACCTTTGCCAGTACAAATACACAGCGGCATTCTGATTGTGCAAGTATGTCAAATCAAGAATCCTCTTCCCTTATATGCCAGGCAGACACACACCAGCAAATCAGTACTGGAAACAATGCTGTCAGAATTTAAAGGATTTAAAAAGAAAGATAAAGACTAGAGCAAAATGCAGAATTAAACAGTAAATAACATTTTTTTCAATAAGAGTCTGCATTAATGCCTTAAAGCTACATGCTACAGAAAACATACTCAAGGAATCCCTGGCATGCTATATTCATGCACAGAAGACTGAAGATTAATCTTCTGAATGTTGCTATTTGTTCCTTTCTATTCCAAGAAAAAGAAAGGACTTTTGACTATCTTGAGTTAATGCTTACCTTCCAAAGAACAGACATTTCAAATATATGTATCAAGGTAAAATATTAGACCTCTTAATTCATACTGATTAAACTAATTCATACTCCATAAACAATAAATAAATTACAATAAAGCTAGTACAGCTATTTTATTTCATTCATTAAAGAAAACATGAATAAAAGGCAAGATCCATTTAAATTCTTCAAATAGTATTTTATAAGTAAATATTTGCATAGTCCACGTGACAAGTGAACACGCAAACACAATACAAATACAGGTATACAACACTTAACATAACTGCTAAGTGTTTGGCATCTTTTTACCTTTGGAAATTGAAGGTTGCCAGTGAACTGCATATACCCAGTTTTCATGACCAGCCAACACAGACTCCAAAGTAATTGCGTATGTTGTATCAGTATCTACCACAAATAAGAGAAAAATCACATTTCTTTCTAAAAGCCAAGAAAGACCAAGTCATTTTTGATATGTTCAGTGAAAAAAATCAACTGCTTTCATCATCTACCAATATCTCAATAGCTCATTGACACTGAACAGGTCCTTGAAAACTTACTTTGCCACAAGTCCCGACTACCAGATTGACACTAAGAGGTCAGCCTATTGCCTCAGAGTGGTATCACAGAATTCCTGGAGAACTCTCAAGCAATTTTTAAATAAATGCTCTGACATTGGCTCTACCCATACTCTTAAGCATATCTGCATCTCCAAATGACTGCAAATACAAGCCTTAAGATACTTCAAACAATGAATCAGGATTTGCAGCAAGTAGCATGAGCACTTTTTACACATAACATCATACAAACTTCATTGTGTTATCCAAGTTGCCTAATAATTTATCCCACAAAGTCAGCATTGGAGGCCTCTGATGTTACAGTGCTCAAAGAATATGTTAAATAACCATAAAGTAGCCTGCACATACCTGTTCTCTCTAGTACTTTTCTAAGGTTTAAGTAATAGCAGCATCTCTTAAATGCATTGAATTTGAAAGAAAAATTAAAGGTAGGCTATTAAACTGCAGGATAACTGCACAACAGCTTACCTCCCACAAATATATCTCCTACATACTGCATCTGGAATACGTGTAACAATGCACAGTGATATAGCACTCGCACTGCTTTACCGGCTTTTGTAACACATCATTAACTTTACACAGTCATGGCTTTAAAACAGTAACTCCACTTTTTCTAACAGCTGAATAAAAACAATATAGTCAAATTGGTCTCAGATTCTCTTAATACAAGAAACAAACCAAATTAGATGGTAACCACCTTGTTAAGTCTCCTGAAACCACAAACAGATACACAAGTAAAAAGTTGCACAAGAGAATTTTACAGCTGCTACCTACCTTTGACAGTAAAAACATTCTCTTTCAGTCTTATGGAATCATCTTCAGTTTCTGGAAGTTCCTTTGATTTTGCACACACTTTCCAAATTCTTATCAAACAATCCTGAGCACAGCTTGCTAAGAAAAGGTCTTCACCTATTTGGTTTAAAATAAAAATAAAACTAATTAGAGCTATGTTTTCATTGCTTTTTCATTGCAACCACTGCCATGACCAACCTACCATCTTTCCAAACATGCACTACAGCATTATCCTAATTTTGCCTGTTGTACACAATATCATTAACTACTGTTTTATTTCAACATTAACTCACTCTCCCATCTCAAAGTCTCTATTAGTTTATAGCACACTATGGATATTTCCCCGCTTATAAGACATGGAAGACATGGTAAATACTGTACCTATACTTTCCTACTACTTATGGCCTTCACTCTCAAAGTTCTGACAGCCTCAATACTCTTCAAGAACTCCTTTCCTCCTTTTCTTTCTTCAGGATTGTAGCATCCCCTAATTCCTTCTAATTTTTGCTATTGCAAGAACTATTTGATTAGTTAACATCTGAGTAGGTTCTCCTATTAACCTCCTATTCTTAAATTAAAAAAAAAGGGGGGGGAGGTATTATTTCTCCCTACTTTCCTCCCTTAGAAAAAGCAGCCAACTCTTCCTCATGCAGATACAAACATTTGCACATTGAGAAGGACAAATTGCTAAAACTCCTATTTGTTTGCATTTAGGTATCAGTCAGGTATTCCACTTTATTTGTCTTTCATACTGACCACAGACTGCCCATTCAATGCCTCTTATCCAATCTTCATGGCCAGGGAGTATTAACGTTTTCTGAAACTGAATAAAAATTCCCGTTACATCATAGAAATGCACTTAATTACCACGCACATATTAGCAATTAGCTTTGGATTTTCAAGTTTTTTATATTTACAGCTTCTATAATTTGAAACTGGAAAAATAAGTTGCTACTAATGGTTGTAATTTCCTGATAGATTCTAAGCAGGCCTTTTTGATTTCACTACTGTTGGGTAAACGTGTCACATTATGGCACTTCACGTGTATAAGCAGGAAAGAATGAGAATTTAAGGTGCTCACCTTCGAGAGGCTACAGTCTCTCTATGATACAGACAAAAGTTTGTTTAAGTTTATCAGGCTTGTGGTGGTGCACAATGAATAACACAATGCAGGTATGACATGGTAAATAATTTCCATTACATGTGTGAAGTGGATGCAACTGCAGATGAAGTGGAAAATGAATACAGGTAATGTCAAGTGTCAAAAGAGGAGTAGATGTTTCGAAATTATTTCAATAATTAATTTGTAAAATAATACTATTAATAAGAATTACTTACGGGGCTAGAAATACTCCTTGTTTCTTAAGTTTACTGCCTAAGTTTCTAAGGAAGCTATACATCAAGAACTGTATCTGCTGATGGAAAACTCTGCATGAACACAGGCTCAAGAACACAGGAATGCAAACACAGTCCGGATTCTCTTTTAAGAGCTTATATTAGCAGCATATTTTAATTCATAACATATATAGTATTACCATTTTATTTTGATTCAATTAAGGCACAAGTGTTTACTACTTACTTAGCATTTAAACCATTTCTATTTTTCTTTGTCCAGAAAAAGCCCTACTTCCATGGAATTTTTTGATCCCAAGTTGACGTTAAATGTCTTAAATAACCACTACAGTTAAAAAGTTAATATAGTTTAGTATGAGTAACTATCATGTTATTTTCGGCATTATATTCTACTAAATCACTTACCTAGGCCTACTAAGAGTTCAGATTAAATTATAGCCTCTGCTATCAATACAAGTCTGCAACTGAGCTCTCTTTCCTAGTCTGAAAAAAAAAAACCACCAAAAAAACCAGACCAACAAAACACAAAACCCACACCTTTCTCATTGTGTTGCTGTTCTTTCTGAAAATCTCTGGTCTTCGGCTTCAGAGGAGATGGTAAGCAACAGTAACTCATACAGAGAGAAAATTTGTATAAGTATGAAAAACAAGTGTGAAAAAAAACATATTCAGAAATCAGTGCCTCTCTCTTTGGTCCAACATTCCTGATATTCTCCAAAATCACCTTCCCATCAAACAACATTGCTCAGCCTCTCCTTGTTTTACAGTTGTTACAGAATGATCTGTAGATGACATACATGACTATAATAGCTTAACAGAAACTTTCAAATCAGAAAGTTTTGGTCTTAAGAATGTGTTCTCACAGCTACCTAAGCCTCATTTGGCTAGTCATTTCTGCACTCACTGACACTTCTGGATGTGGCATTCCAGATAGAAGTTTATGTTAAACACCCAAACGGTTATGCATAAATAAAGGCAAGAACAGCCCAGGAAACGAGATCAAACAGCGACCGAAAGTTTTTTTCTGAAGACTACATGTTTCTGGCAATACATGAAAAAAAAAAAAATCTTTTCAGCAATTTGTATTTCTGATAATAAATAAAACACCTATTTATTCATTTATTTATATGACCTTTGACATAACGCTCTGTATTTTACATTCACCAAGGTTAGTTGGTAAATTTATTGTCAACTGAAAGATTGGTTCAGGCTGAACTGTTGCTACCATTCTTGTCTTTTACGGTTCCTTTTATGTTAAACAGTGTGCATATCACCTGAAACTTGAGTTTGATATTAATTTAAACATACATCTAATCATTTTCCTATTTTTAATTTCAAGGTGTTGAGTTTTTTTAAATTACCCTCATTGTGTCACATCAGAGAACTACTAAGAAAAGCAGACATTTGTTTTCTCTTTAAAAGAGTAAAACTAATTACTTTGAGGTTATTAATACCACCTCAGGTTTCTAAGCCATTTCCCGAATACGGCCAAGTTGTTCCTAAAAAGCTTAAGTCAAGAATGCAGTTGTTTTGTGCTATAGAACAAGCATTCACTTAAAATTTTCAAGATACTGTTTCCTGTAAGAATACAAATTGTCCACTGAAACTCAGCATAGAATAGTGTTGCTGTCCTGCCTTCTGCTTGGGTTTTTTTGTATTGTTTTTTCCATTTTCCTTGAAGTCTGTGCCTCTTGGTATCACACATTCAGTTTGTTCAGATGTGTTCTGTTCTAAAACTGCATCAATTTAAAGCTTCTTGCAGATGCACATGATCATTATTTTTAAATTATTCAGTCAAAGTTTTTGTTATTGCCTAGGTTATATTTACAAGTATTTTGTTCTGTCGTTCTCATTTTTACAGATTTTGTTTCTATAGTCTTATATTTCTTCTTCTCTATTTCAGTTTTCCCTTGGTCATCACTGGATACATAAGAAGTTACAGCACCAACAGTTAAATCTAACACCAGCGCATGGTCCAAGTCACATACTTCGCAGGCTTTCCCACGGCTCTTAAGTAATCTCTGAAGATTTTTGCGTAGCAGCAAGCTGGTCTCTTTTCTTTTCGGTAAAGAATGAAGCTGTTCTGTAGGCAGCAGAACTAGTGAAGCCAAGTTGTCTCTGGACATGCCTAGCACACTCTGCACAACTAACTCTGCCCACATTTTGGGTACATGACATTCAGGACCAGGCCAGTAGTATTGTTTGGCAAATTTGGCAACAGAGGTCCAAGTCTTCCCAGTTTTTCCTCCACCGAGCACTAGATGTGCCCTCCTCTATCCAGCTGTTAATCTCATCAAATTAGAAAGAGCCTTTGAACCTCGTATTCCACTTTTCAATTCGGCCAAATTATTTGGGGGAAACATAGTCAAACGTGCACCACAAAAACCTTCTCCCAGAAATCAAGCTCAACATAGAAATGTTTTATTTTAAAGCTTTATTTTGATCCTCTGGTTTACTTACGTCCCCTCCATAAAGCTGTAATATCTCAAGCAGGAAGATATATAATGGTTTCTGAAAGGTTTTTCCCTTGGTACTTTTATGAATCAATACCCTCTTTCAAGAATTCAGAAAAGCAAAGACTCCATTTTCTCTCTATTGCTTAACACCGTAAGGGATCTATGGGTATAGAGCCCTAAAGGATTTGAAGTCTGCCCACTCAATTTCAATAACTAAGCAGTTTTTATGAATAAATATATTTTCAACTGCAAAATTAATGAGGTTACCAAAGGCAACCTGCATCAGCTAACTGAAGATGCTTCATCCTCCCTCAGAGTATAACAGGGCCTCCAAGTTTCATTAGAACGTCCTGTTATGAACTTACATTCTACCTTTGGGTTTATACAATCTTTTTTTAGGAGGTTAACTAAAAGAAGAGGTTTCCAAGAGTCACAACAAATAGGACAGAGCTACAGGCCCTAACCACTGAGGGAATGATGCAGAAGTTTAGATTTTAATCACTCTTCTACACTGAGTTCTAGTAAAAAACAGCAGGATGACAGTAACACTTCCTTCAAATGCCTTTGAAAGTACTACATAAGCCATAAAAAAAAAATGTGTCAGCAGATCTGAGAGAACCTGACTAAAGACGAGAACTTCCCTTTTAGCAGCTAGGAAGGAATTTATGTCAGAAGGCTCACAAGGATGTTTGCATTCTTTTAATAGCTGTAATGCACTACACAGGCACTTTTACTCCACGTGGAATCAAATTTGGGCTCTTCTCTCTGAGGTCTGTACAGTCTACTTAGTTAAAAGAGATGCCGTGGAAAGTTAAGACAGACATCAACCAGAAGTCTCACCTCATTTAAAAAAGAGAGACTTTGAACACCAACTCTGCCAGGACAGCTGGTGAAAATACCTCCTAAAATTGAAGGTGTGAAAAATAACACGTGTTAAATAAGAGAACATTCCTCACCCCTTGTATGAATAAAGTTCCCTACTTCCAAAAGAAGACAGCACCATAAACTTGCTTACGAAGCTGACCATAAGAGCTTCTTTATTCCAGTTACCTTCCTTTATCCTCCACACATTGACCGCATTTAAGAGTGGCTGAGAATGTTCTTATATTCAAAAGATTGGTCAACAACTGGCAAAATAAGTTACGTATCTCTGAACATTTTTGGCAGTCAAACTGCATATTATTTGTTAATCTAAACCAACAAGAAAACAAGTTCCAGATTTTGAATGAGAAAAATGAACTGCACAGCCCCTGAGATAAAAGTCTTTCTTCAGCACACTGAGAATCACAAGTGGCATTCTGCCATTGTCAATTCCCAGAGAATGTCATTAAACCGATTTAACATATGAGCTATATAGAAAAAAAAAGGTAAGAAAGCAACCCTTCTTTCCCGCTTAGCGGTTAAAAAAACAGGGAACATAGCAGATAAAGGATGAAGTATTTATTTTACTGACGAATAAAAAAACCAAAAAACTTATATGTATACAGCAGCATGAACTGGCAAAATTATGTACAAAAAAAAGCAAAATCTTTATCTCTCAAAAAGCAAAAAGGAGTATCCATTCTTTAATCTCTAAGCAGACTCTATCTGAACAAATCCAGAAGAGTAAGTGGTTCCTATATATATGCATCAGTTTCAGCAGGGGTTTCTGAATGGTACGTTCATTGGCACATTGGGGGCAGGTTTGTGGTTTGAGGGTTTTCTTTATGGGACTGATAGAAAGAAGTAACACTGACTTCTGTTTTGGAAAACAGTCATTCAACACATGCTTTAGAGTCTAACAAAACTCCTGAACAGATGCAAGAGGACAGAATCTCTTTCTACTGCTCGACAGGAACCTTTATTTGTATGAAACACTAAAGATTGCCAGCTTCCAAACAATACAGGAAAAATGTGTGTTTTTTTAGAAGATCAGATACTCCTTCAAATACTTCTTTCGACATTCACAAGCATTCAGCACAAAGGGCATATTTAGCAACAAACATACAGTTCCATAGGTAGAAATCATATCAGTTTCATTACAAGAATGTATAGACCGAAAATCACATCATTTCCATATAAACTATTCAATGCATGGATACCCAATAAAGGACTCTCATAGCTATATTAAGTCAGTGGGAATGGAAACACAGGCTATCTTCACACAAGGGAAAAAAAAAGAAAAACTAACACTTTTATGCACTGAATCCAATATCAACATTCTGTATATGCATTTCATCATTGCCTAAAAAAATGGATGAACTATTTGAACAGAGGCAGTTGTATGTGATGGCTATCTAGAGAGACAGTAGCTATTGAAGAACATCAAAAAAATCAGCAGCACATATGAAAAGAAAAGAAGCAGAACCACCAAGTAATGTTCTGAGCAAGAGACAAAACCTGTAATTACCTGACCGTTCTGCTGTATAAACAAACTTATTTTGCAGTCATCACCACCACAAGCCAGTATTGGCACTGAAAAAAAAAAAAAAGAAAAGTCTTCATTACTCAAGTCACAAAATCTAACATTCTAGAATATGAAAAAAATATGAGTAATATATTTATTGATGCTATATTGATTTTTATATTAATACAGAGGCAAGCATAATACCACGTTTTTGTGTTTTCTAAATTAGATACCTAATGCTATTTGAAATAAACTAGTATCTCAAGAACACAAAACTTAGAAGTTATTTTGGGATGTAAATAGTATCTAGAAATACTTAAGATGCTAGAGTAGCTTCCTTCAAGCTCATATATCTGTAGGAAGTTCAAGTATTAGAAATTTTTATTTAATTATGTTTATTTTATTGATATCAACAGGCATTTGCTCTAAATACAAAAGGAGCAAGCAGCAAAACAAAATGGCTCAGAACTAATAAAGTTCAAGTTCCTAAATCAACTGAAGTAAGTATATAGATGGAGTAAGCATAATTATCATACAGCAAATAAAGAGACAGACCAAAAAGGAAGACAGACCATCACTCACTGTACACAAGGATATGAAAGCAATGAGCATTATTATACACCTACTCAAGTATTGAGTACATTACTTCTACCAGCTATCTAGAAAGTGTGCAGAAAACGTAAGTCTATTGAATCAAACCAGACAAAGTTATGTCTAAGAGGAAAACAAGAGAAGTTAGGTAGTGTATTAGTTCATCTCTCCCACAGAAGATGGTGGGGAAAAAGACTCCACTCTTTCTGGGTCGTAAGGATGAAGTAGTACCGCTAGGGACTGAAGTAGTAGAAGGAAATTAATTAATTAGAAAGTTACGAAGAAATAAGTTACCGGGGTAGACATTAGCATTTCCCAAGTCTGGATAGAAAACAGAACACTAAATTTCACTGAAGTCAACTACTTCCTTTAAAAAAACTAAATGCCACCCCTTTACAGAGTTAAGTTTATCTTTACAATGGATAGACCAAAAATTGACTTGAATATTCATAATAAGTTTATGCTCTATGCTAATTTCCTCTTTCTGCCTGTACCAAATCTGTGCCTAGTTATCTGCTGTTCCTCTGGCACTTCCAAATCACATTTCACATTCTCACATCTCCACCACTTGCTGCTTCTCTCCAACCTCCAAGTCACATTTCACCTCCATCTCCTCCTTGCTTTACATGTGGCCAAAAAAGACTGCTCTGCACTGCAGGTAATGAGCTGTTTTGAAAGAAGACCTGGTCTTCAGGCCCACAGAAATTGGGCAAGAGTGAGGTTTTCTTCCATAAATACAGTACAACACATGTTCCTGGAGCCAGTATCATTCTTTCCTGAGAAACAGATTTTATGGGCCATTAGCGTAATTGCATATTTACTTAATGGAATAAAAGTTTGACTAGTAAAAACAAAAATTGAATTATGATCTATTTGCTGTATCAGACAAGTATGAATACGTTCACTCAAAAAGTTCCATCAAGAAATATATAACTGGCAAAAACAGACTAGTATATAGTTTCTCACATAAATGCTCTAGAGTACTAGAATTTGGATCTGATTGAGACAAAGTTCTGCAAAGGAAATAGAAAAGATAAGCTGGAAACTGTGGTCCAATTGCAATGAGGACAGTGTGATGGGCAAGGCTTTTTCAAGTTTGCTTTCTCTTTTTTTCACCTGTTGCAATTCAGTTCTGAGGACATGATTCTTCTTTGTCAGAGGCCAAGCTATAGCACCACAACTACCCAGGTGGTAGTAAGAATCGCAAAATATGACAAGAGCTGATCAAGATCTGTAAAATAGTAAATCTTATTGCCAGCATTTCGGAAGCAGTTTCTGCAGACACTGCGAAGCAAAAAGCAACCAACTAAACAAAACAGCATGAAGCTCTTCAAGACTCAGAAAACAACTGTAAAGAAACTCCTTAGCTAGTTAAGAGGCTGCCAGTAAAGTGCTTAAGCTATACTCCAGCTGCAAATGATTGTTCAGGTTTTTAGGAGTAGTCTATTGGCTTTCCCCATTTGACTTTTCACAAAAATGGTCCTTCTTTTTTCTTTTTTAAAATCATTTATTTTCAAGGACAATCAGTAAAAATACCAGGCATCATGAACTTCAGTGTCTTTTGAAAGTTGAAGCATCCATTACATATGAAAGTGCTTTCAACACAAGCTTTAAATTTCTTTGCTTGGTGAAATTAGAGGTTACTGTAAATGCTCCTTGCTCAGGAGAGTAGTTTACAACTTTCAAAAAGTAATTTTGTATTTATATTTCAGGTTATGAGCACTGTGTTGTTTTGGATAACTAATTTTAATTGGGATGATAAGAGACCATATTAAAGGATTGTCCTGCTCTGAATGCAACTTTAAGCAACACTGAGTTTTAGGGACTCTGGGAGATTTTGACAGCAAAGCAAAATGCTTGATATTCCACTATTTAAAGAAGTTTCAAGCACTCCATGCAACTGTAGTTTCAGAAGCTTTTAGTTTTAGGAATCAATATGATAATCTTCATTTAAGGTTTTCCAAAATGAATGGTCATTTCTTTTAAATACAACATGGTTTCAACACTAAACAGATGCACTACTCTAGAGCGTTACAGTGAGAATTTCCTACCTGTACAGTATCATAAATGAAGAAATAATCTATTGCTTTGCAATACAAACTTTATACTCATTAAATTGGCACCACAGGCACTTCACTTCTAACAAAAATACACACTGGAGGTAATGATTTTAATTTACCCTCAAGCTTTTTAACTTCATCTCAACAACCACATGTTAGTATATTTACAAGAAAAATATAGAGAGAGGTTTAAAGTTCTTCAGTGGTGTAAATGCTGCTTTTGGTATCAGACACACTCTGGAAACAGACATTAGTATTTCCCAATGGGATAAGAAAGCTCTATCAAGATGCGTTATCTCCCAGAATTATCACAAGCCAAAGAATAAAATAAGCTTCTGTATAACTGCTCCGGAGGCATACAATCAAATACCACATCAGCATGGAACACATTCAGCGAATAGCTGAAAACTCTAGAAACAGTAAGAAACTTTAGTACTTTTTCTCTTGGGAGCCTGCCACTCCTCCGTCCAGGTGAAAGGCGCTAATGATACTTAAACACAAACCTAATTCAACAAATGTATCTGGCCTGAGGATGCATTTATTTTTTTTTTTTAAAAAAAGCTTCTACAGATTTGCAACAGAAGAATGTATCTGTGGCAGGCTACAAAATCTGAACGTTTATGTTAAGTGTATTATGCTTGTGTACAGAAAACTATATAAACAATACCGAACAGTCAAGGTTAAATTTGTTCAGCATCTCAATTTTTTCACATTTAAGAATGAGCAGGTGATAAACACTGCTGATTAATCTGTACTTTTTGATGCAGGCCTGCAGATTCTTTTTCTGGATCTTGCCCTTCAATCCAAACAACAAGAACAAACATACGCAGCAGCACCACAAGGAGCGGGTGAAACTAACAGCATCATCCTATCCTGTTCACTTACAGCCCTGTTACCCCCTTTTTAAGCTCTCTGTCTCAATAGTTCAACTAAAGAACTCCATTGAACATCATTTTGAAGACACTGTAATCAGCCAGTATTTTTCTAGTTGTCAAGAAGAGTTCAGTGAAAATTAGATACGAACAGCAGCTTAGGCTGATTCCATAGGAAACAAAAAATACGGCACAAAGTTCTGGAGTCAGTCAAATGAAAATCTATTTGGGGGATTTCTTAGATTTTACATTTTCTGCATTGATATTCAAGATGTGCAGTTGTACTTACCATTGCTACCAGGCAAGAAGGATAAGCAGACATCCATAACAAACCCATTTCCAAACTGCAGAATTTCAATGCATTTAGCTGGAAAACAAGAACAGACATTGCTGATCTCACTCACGGTAAGTATTACAGTTACACTGTCATTTCCTGCATTACATTACTGTTATGGTTTAGCCCCACGCGGCAACTAAGCACCACACAGCCGCTTGCTTGCTTCCCCCTGCCCAGGTGGGATGGGGGAGGGAATCAGAAGAAAACTCATGGGTTGAGATAAAAACAGTTTAATAGGACAGCAAAGAAAGAGGAAATAATAATATTACTGATAAAGGAATAGACAAAACCAAGTGATGCACAATACAACAACTGCTCACCACCTGGTGATTGACAGCCTGTCCCCAAGCAGCGATTCCTGCCCTCCAGCCAATGCCAGTTTATATACCAAGCATGATGTCATACAGCAGGGAATATCCCTTTGGCCAGCCTGGGTCAGCTGTCCCGGCTGTGCCCCCTTCCCAGCTTCTTGTGCACCTCCCCACTGGCAGAGCATAGGAAGCTGAAAAATCCTCAGCCAGAGTATAAACACTACAACTACTTAGCAACAACTAAAAACATCAGTGTGTTGTCAACATTATTCTCATACTAATCCAAAACACAGAATTGTACCAGCTATTAGGAAGAAAATTACCTCTACCCCAGTCAAAACCAGGACAATTATGTAGTTAAAATTTCTCATTCAATCTTATTTTAAGGAGCTGAAAAACTTCTACATTTTTCAGAAGCCTAAATAATAATGTTATCTTCTGTGGGGCCACAGAAATTCATCCAGAGTCAGCCGAGTTAGAATATAAGTCACTATTCTCCACTGAGTATTAAAATTGTACAGCTTCACTGTGGTAACACATCAGAAGTGATAAATATTGCAAATTATATGCTGTGGCAACAGCATTCACTACACAGGAAGCTAAAACCGAATCCATTTGCTACAAGAAGAGAGAGATAAGCAAAAACCTGCAAACACCCCTGAGATCCAAGAAGCAGTTAAAACTGGTAAGCCATCAAGATCAGAGTTACCAACAGGATAGCAGGAAATCCTCTCTACAGAAGCAGAATTGGAATCCACAACAGCAAGACAAAAAGGAAAGGACCAGGCTTCATGGTGTTCTTTGGGAGCATAAGAAATGTCTTCTAGAACATGAGACTGAAGACTGGCAACTCCCACCTGTTTCCCTCATTTAGGCAGGAAAATGTGAAATCCTTAAGTATACCACATAAGGAAGAAAGCAGCTTGAGAGATGCAGTCAGTACAACTCAAGTAGGATACTTTAAATCTAGATTATCCATCCTATTTATTTCTTATGTATTTCAAGGAGCTGTTCTCCCATGTGTCCGTGCAAGGGCCTAGTTCACCAGAAGGTCAAGATCCTATTATCACAAACTTCATTGGACTCAAGTCAATAGTAAAGAACAAGTGACTAGTTTTAACTCAGCCTTCTAATGCCAGCAGTAATCATTTTAGTAAGTAATTGTACTTCACGCACACCTACAACTAGTCTGCCCCCACATTACAGGGCAAAATGATGGTTCAGATTATCAGATTCCAAATACATATTAAAAAGAAACAAGTAAATTCAGACAACACATCACTAATGAAAAACAAAGATAAATCATTCTGCAGAACAAATCCAACCCAAAGCTGTTAAACTACTATAAGCCTCAGCTTTCAAAGAGCAATACAGTGGTTTGATGTACCAAAGTTTGAAGAAAATCAATGTAGTTGCATTAAAAGATGTTAATATTTAGCCAAGTACTTCAATGGATAAGCATTCACCATTTTTATTAAGCCTGTATGTTGTCCCTAATGTTAAAGTTACCTTCTGAGCCATGCTGAGACCAGATTCTCACAGTAGAGTCAGAAGCTGCAGAAGCTATTAGCAGATTTAAATCAGGTTCGTCTGACTGGTAGACAGCATCCACAGCACAAACAGCTTCAGTATGGCCTTTGAGAGGAATGCTTTTCACAAGCTGAAGACATTGGAAAGTTTTACAAAGTTTTAAATTCCAGCAACTTATCTGAGAGAGTTTTTAAAGCCATTTTAAGGAATACAATTATTTAATACTGAAAACAAATTGTACACCTGTGATGGTGTACACACCTGCCAAGCTGTGCTTTAGCTATAGCATATTCCAGGAAAACACAGAGAAGGGATACGGCAGTAATGACTATTAACTTGATAAGACTTTCTTCAAAGCTGAACAGAATTAAATTTTCCTGTGTACACTATACAAACCTCACTATTCATTAAGGAAAGCTGGAAATAGTACAGAAGTTAGGAAAAGCAATTTTCCTTCCTTTTTCTCCTTCTCTTGCCCCTCACCTTTAGGAATATCTCATAAAAGTTCGGAGAACCTTAGTGAAGGAGACAGAGCAGAGAATACAATGGAATAAGCAGCAGCTACAGCAGCTCTAGCAGCAATGTTTAGTGTGTTCTTGCAAATCGAACCAGCTTTTTACCGCCTCAAAATACTGACATGAAAGACAAAAACTGTAAATTTAGACTTAAGTACCTACTTTCTTAATGAATGAATACAGGTGATTCACTTTGTAATCTGTTCCTCATAAACACAGCAAAACGAGCAGCTTTTAATTCTGTGACCAGAAGCCATCCAGCATTTATCCGAATGTCATAAATGCCTTTCACATCTCCTTCCAAAATATAGCATGGTAGGCCCCGGTAATAATTTTCGATTGATCCGATATATAGAACTCTGCCTGTTTTTAAGAATTTACACTAGTCTAGAACTTCCATTAAAATGTGCACATTTAGCCACATTTTTTTTTTCAAAGACTGTCATAAGGCCGTGCACCTCATCAGCAGAAGTTCATAAAGAAATCTGTAAAGTATTTTAAATAAATATGTTAACAGTTACAATAAATCAGGATGAGAAATTATTTGTTTGAGAACATTCCCCCATCAAACATGCATGGTAACAACTACTCTAGGTGCACTTCCCCCTCACATGGATTCTCATACACTTCAAAATGCCAAGTCTAATCTAGTTTGAGGCAGCCTATGAAATGGGTTACCCACACAGCCAGTCACAAATCAACACCTAATATGTAAGATTTTAAGTCAGATGAAGAAGATAGTCTAATTTTTTATCTAAATTTCAGTGCAGTCTGAAGGCTCTTTTACACTATGCTTGATCTTTTGCCTTACATTTTTACAGTACAAAAAATAAATTAGCACATCTCCTTAATTTTCTCATTTTTGCTGACAAAACTCCATTGTTGCACAGATTTATTTTTTTTTAAATACTTACCCTAACTTGTGTATCATTCTGGTAAGACTACCTATATACAAACACTGTACTGTTACACAGATTGACTGGAAATCACTAGAAATGGCTATAAAGAAATGAGGAAGAAGGGTACAGGAAACATCAACTAAAAATGAACCTTATGAGGTTTGAAGATTTTAAGGCAGCTTAAAGAAAAGTGCTGCATAAGATCAGAAAGCTGATGACTCAAGAACATACAAACAGCATCTTTCAGACATGCTAGACAAATCCACCTGATGACTGGTTAGCTAATTTCTTAATGAAGGCTGATTTGAAAAAGATTAAACATTGTTCCTTCTTTTCTGTAGTTTAAGTAAAACATAGCATGACAGAATACCAACAATTTGAAGGAGATACACACAAGGTTCGATAGTCAAGGTAAAACAAAGAGGTATGAATAAAAAAATACAGATAAAACAGATAACTTGTGGTATGTCAGAAACTGGAGAGGGAAGGAAGCTTTAAAAAGAGGTTATTCTTGCTTACCTGATTACTCCATGTTCCTGTTCGATTCCATTCCCAAAGAATGAGTTGTTTATCAGATCCACCAGAAATTAACTCTGTTTCAGAAGCTAAAATTACATTTGGTTAAGTTTCATGAGCACTTGGTTTATAACAGCAGTCCACAACATAAGCAATTACACACAATTATTCACAAAATACCACATATCAACTGTAAGCAAAGTATCTATCAAAATAAAGTATGGCTAATATGAGTTGCACTGTGCAAAACAGCTTAAGAGGAAATGTATTCTCTAAGACAAAGTCACAGGAATATTTAGAGTTCTGTATTAATGTGATGAATTTATTTTCCAAAAAGATTCTCAAATCCAGTAGTGTAATTCAATATTTTCTTTTTTTGTTTGGTCTTTTTGGAGACTAGGAAAATACAGTAAGAGAAATCTGACACAACAGAATTCAAAGCTTCACACGAAAATTTAATTCCTAAGTTCTCTGAAAATAATTTATTTTAATAAGCTTTAAGAAAAAAAAAATATTTCAGTGCAACCTGTTGAAAGGATAGCAATTTATTCCACTATTAAAGAGGAATGTTCTCATCTCAGTAATTTCCCCCCCAAAAGGCAACCATATCAGGGGGTTGGGCTAGATGACTTTTACAGGTCTCTTCCAACCCAAAGATTCTATGATATTATATCAACGGTCTCATCAACAGCCCCATTTCTCTTTGTCAGCGAGTTTCTAGAAATGCCCAAGGGCAAGAATATGTGCCTTTGAAAAATTCGCATTAAGTAAGTTTAAAGCCTGGAATTACTATCAAGCAAAAGCCTCATACGGGTCTCAAACATTTTTATCTTAAAGGATTATTTTTTCATGGATATGACCTCTACACAACCTATGGCTTTATAGTATGAGAGTTCTTAAAAAGCTCTGCAAATCGGTTTAAAAAGTCAAAACAACGCAAAACTCCAACCCCTTACCATGGAGCGCAGCGGCAGCATCACGGCCGCCCATCCGTCAGAGCCACCGCCGCCCCAAGGCAAAACAGCCTCCCGGGCTGGCCTTGGCTGCGGGGCCCGGAAAAGACAGCTCGACCGGATCCCCTCGCTTACCGGAGCCGAGTCGGATGGGTCACATCCCTGCGGAGCCACCTGCTAAAATCCCCACCGGGAAGCTAGGCTTAAGGCGAGAAGATGCGCTGAAAACACTGCAGCTCCCTATTTCCTTCAGCTCCTCATAGTTTAGACCGCAGCTCCTTCTGCTGCCTACGCCCCCGCCTCACCCCCTCAGCGAG